ATATTTTTTTTAAAATATTAAAAAAAAAAAAAAAAAAAAAAATAAAAATTTTTTTTTTTTGCTTACCATTCTTTTCTGTTCTTTTTTTTTTTTTTTTTTTTTTTTTTTTTTTTTTTGAGGATGAAAGAAATTTCTTTTTTTTTTTTGTAATATACGGTCCAGGCTTTTTCTTCGCTCTTTTTTTTTTAACAGCTGTTTTGTTTTTTTTGTCAAGCAGACACAAGAGAAATAAAATCATCTCATAGACTTTTGGGATAAATTATCTTTTATTCTATATCAGACCAATCATCATCATCACAAATTATTGACAAACAAGGATTTTATAAAAAAAAAACAACAACAATAGACAGAAGATCTGTCAAGTTTATAGTCAATTGGAGAGAGAGAGAGAGAGAGAGAGAGAGAGACGAATTACTATGTATAAGGAAACTTTTTTTTTTTTTTCTAACCTTTATTTGTTTTGTTTTACAAGCAGAAAAAATAAACACATCCAAATAGCGAAAAAACCAGATACCATTGACGAAATCATTCGGCACAGTTGTTCGTAGGAAAATGTATAAATGTTGACAATAAAAAAACTTATTTTATTAATAAAAGAATAAGTTAAAGATAAGAAAATAAAAGAACTGAGTGTAGATTATTTAATTATCACATCCAGGAGAAATGTGTATACAATTCTTGTTTTTAATTAAGATTGAGATTTGACAGACAAATTAATTGAAGAGGAGGATCACTACATTTATAATAGGTTTAAAAGAAGCAACAAGGAGGAGAAATCACCCTTTGATAATGAATCAACGTTCGATAATTCTAGCTGAAGCTACTTAAAATTAGAATCAATACGTAAGAAGGTCGAAATGTATATCAATAAGTGGAGAATATCACATAAAAATTACGGTTCATTACATTACACGTCTATTCTTATTACTTTTGGCTTTCTATTTTACTAATTGATAAACAGACAAAAATAGAAATAAGTACTCAATTTCTCCGGTAGACTTACATTTAGTGTCTGTTCATGCATTAAATAACTGCAATAAATTGCTCATATAATATTTTATGTATAAGAACGGTCTGACTCTATGGACTCATTTTGTTTTGTGCTTTCATTTAAAAAAAAAACGATCATTAAAGACCTCGAGCTTTTAATCATTCTACGAATTTGACATAGTTTTCACGTTGTTTTACTCGGCAGGCATTTTCAATTCAACATGTTAATTCTTTTCTGATTCTTCGTAAAGAAATATATAAATTGAAGTAAACGTATAAGATTTATCATGATAGAAAACCGTGTTAGATCGTGTCTATAGTGTTTAATTATATAAGTTAAACTAGTACTACTGCTGCTATTCTCTATAAAAGTATTTATTTATAAGAAACGAATGGTAATAATAATTAGAAAATAATAAGATAATCAGTAGACTATCACAGTATCATGTGTAGTCAGATAGTCGAATATCGATATTATCATGACGAAAAGAGATAGATTAGTTGATAAGTGAACAACAAGTGGCAACAGCTTGACCATAGATAAAAAAAAGATGTCTTTGACATCGTCCTTGTTTGATCAAAATAGATTAATGTCATTAGTATAAATATTTTCTACTTTTTTTCTATTAATATATCTTGTATTTTTTCTATATATTGTACAAGTACAAAACTAAGAAAAAGAAAAAGAATTTCTCTACTTTAGATTCAAAGATTAATTTTCTTAGAATAATCATTGTTGTTTTGAACAAATATATTAGGATTATGTGTAGAAAATAAATATTTCATGTATAATGTGGTTGAATGGATGGATGGATGGTCAATATAACTGCAACTTTTGTATGTGTCCCTACGTAGACGAAAAAATAAATATTAATGTTTTTTTTTTACACATTAGAATCAGTTAAGCGAAAAATAGTATCTAATTAAAATAATTCTCGAATGAACTACTGTATACAACTATCTCTCTTATGGCACCAAACGAACCTTATGTACACTGAAGAATCTAAAAACAGTGATACTATATATAAATTAGTTACCTGAAGGTCTTTTTTTTTTTTTGTCTTTATAATTTTTTCATCTCAACACTGTTGTCTTCCATTTTTCTACTATTTACAGAATTATATGTGTAAAGATTTTCTGATTTTTTACAGTGAGTTTAATAATGCGGAGAAAGGGAAGTTATAGATCCTCATTTGAAAAAAAGCACGAATTCTCGTGTGAGTGATCTACATCATGGTACAGATGGCAAACATTTTTTGTTACAGAGCATCACTAAAACCGTAAAGTTACTCAATAAAAAGGAAAAAAAGGTTTGCACATTTGTATTATCAATATATCTCTATAGAGATTTACTTTGTTGCCTCTCCTCTTTATAGATTCACTATAGTTCTTGCTGTTTCAACTCGTTTAGTAGTAATATTATTAAGTGTTACTTAGTAAAGAAAAATAGAGAGGGAATCCATGGTGTTTATAATAACACAAATACTGTGTGTGTGTGTGTGTGTGAAAAAAAATAATTATTATTAGTATATTGTTTGACTGTATCGTTCGATATGTATATAAACATATCGTATTTCACACATATTTTTGTGTATCTTCTCTATGTAGTTGAAAAATAACAATGCGCTATTAATTTGATGTTGCGCTTACGGGTTAAACACATCACAGAGAGTGTAATAACAAAAAAAATTGTCTTGTTTTTCAATGAATAATAATTGATATAGAGATAGGGAGAAAAAGAGACAGACAGACAGACAAAATTAATTTTGTCATAGAGACAGGTGACAAATTGAGAATTATTATGATCATTGTTTAGTAACAGAAATAGACATGATTCATGACTATGATTAAACAATATGAGAAATAAAAATAAAATTTTTTATATCTCATCCATCTTACATATTCTTTGTTCCTTTTCTCCTGTTTCAAGATAAATTGTCTATATTGATGCTCAAATAATCGAAGGACGTCTTTTCTTTGGTTAAGTTAAGTGTCGATTATTATTATTATTACAGACTAGAAAATTTTTCTTTTTATAACGATGATGATGATGATCATCATGATAATAGGGACAATAATAAAAGAGGAAAGTCAATTTTGTACTCTTTTTTATTTTTTTTATTTTTTTTTATTCAATATAGATCCTATTGAAGTTTTCATTTGTGTTATGTTAAGCGAACAATTGCTAGTTTTCCGTGTGAGAAAGAATAATTTGGCAAATAAGATGAGAATGACTTTTCTCGCTTTCTATTCAAATCAAAGAGAAGAATGCTGTTTAATTAATAATTATTTATGCAAGGTGAATGAATAATGCAGTACTTTTTTTATTCTTTCTGATTAATCGAATGACTATATTATTAGTTAAAATCCATTTATAAGTCTGCATAAACAATTGACTTTTGATAAAAGATCATTTTTTTCTTTATTTTAGATTGATGCGCAAAGCTCGATATTTATTAGATCGTGATTTAAAAGATAAATTTACCGCACAAACAATAGACGAACATGCAATTGATTTGACATTAACAAATCCATGTTTATATCTAAAAGAAGGTGTAACAAAAATAAATCCAAGGTATTTTTTATTATTGTTTGATGAATGGTATGATTTTTTGTAATTATATTATCAATTGATAATGTATGCGTGTATGTTGACTAGCAGAAGTGTCGTTTTCCCAAAAAGAAATAATAGAAAATCATTATTTTTTGGATAAGTGTTATGTCATTTGTGACAAAGGTCATGTCACTATAGAAGATTTACACCTATGAAGAAGAAGAAGATATAGATGTGTGTATGTTTGTTATATTTGTTTAGACACGCTGAACTTTTCAAAAGCCGTAGGAATAACATTTATAGTTATCATTTTTCTTTTTTTCTGAGATGTAGAATATTTTCATCGCATTTATAGGTGTTATATCCTATAGGAACTAATCTGCTCTTCCTATAGCAAAATAAACTCGTCTGTAACATTGATTACCATATTATTTAGACAGATTGTACTGTTTAAATGTGCCTTTAGTTAGAAGAATGATGAGCATATTTCTGTTATTGTGTCAGTCTTCTTTTTTTTTTTTTATGCTACTTTCTAATAGATATAAACAAACATTTATACATTTTACCAGTTTATATCACTTATTTTTTTTTTTTGATTTAGATCGGTATCTGAACCATTTTGGGAAGAATATTCAGATGTAAATATTAAAAATGCTGAAACTCAACGATTAAATGCTGTTCAATTACGTAATGTTGTTGATGGTATATTGAAAAAAATTGTTAATGATCTTAAACAAGCTGTTGAACAGACAAGTCGGTCGTTTGATCGTCGTATATTTGAATCAAAACAGGCAAAACAAAAATTAGAAGATCAAGTTCGAGAAGTAAATTGATTAATTAATTTATAAAGTGACAAAATATATAAATAAACTAAATTTTTTTTTTCTAGGTTAATTTATTAATTCATCAATTAGAAGAAAATATAAAAACAGTTGAAAAAGCTATACGTGATAAAGAACAATATTTAAAATTAGCTCATACACGTTTGGATATACGTGGACAACGTCCCAATGTTGAACTAGTTTATGATGCACCACAAAAACGTCTTATTGAAGAAATTCGAGAAATTGAATATGAAATACAACGTCTTCAAGAACGGTAAGATGATATAACTAATTTTTTGTTTTAATGTTCTCATTAACATTATCATTAGAAAGTAATATTGTCAATCAATTGACCTTCGAAATATCAAATCGTTAGTCTTATGATTATGTAAACAAACATGACATCTAAACTATTTATATGTAAACTATACGATTAATCTATCTTTCGTCTTTCATTCAACACATTTGATTTAAATTTTCTTTTTTTTATATTTTTTGTTTCAGATTGGATGAAGCTCATGTTCGTCTAAAAAATTTAGATCGTGATAAATTAATTTTAGAAAAAGATATTGAAACAAAAAATAATACAATTTTTGTTGATGAAGTTGAATGTCATCAAGGTTTAAGAAAAGCAATATCTATAGTAGATTGGTAACATTGTAATTAAAATATATTAAAGACATTAATATTCTTCACATTTTATTTATTTTGTTTTTTTAGAGAATAAATTTTTATTTAATTAAATTTGTACATCAGACACTATTTTTGTTTTGCTTCTTTTTATTTTTTCTTCTCACAAATCAAATAAATGTGATAATAAATATACAGCAAGGACTCGAATAATTAGCTCATTCTTCTCTAACATCCTATCTTCTCCACTTACTTTAACTTTAAGCTCAAAAGTTTAAAGACACTTAGGCAACATTTGGCTATATTTGTAAGTTAAACGATTTGAAAATTATTCAGAAACTTCTCAGTCATGAATTCGAACATTTGAAGTCTTCAGAGATTTTCTTGAAAAAATAAACGTAGAAAAATACTATTTATTTGGTATGAAAACTGATTATTGCACATCACTGATTAAACCTTCTAGAACATTGAAATTCAAATATTTTCTGAATAAGAACAATCATTTTAAATTTTTATTCGAAAAATTCCAAACTTACAATGTAAAATTTTGTTCTGTTATGAATGTTAAGGAGGAATTTGTTTTCAAAATGAAATGTGAATTGTCTACAACTTTTCCTGGAGACATCATACGCTTTTTACGAACGATTGAGTTTAGGGAAAATATTCTGCTCATCAATAATAATAAAAGAAAAAACTTTTAAATTGTAAATATAAAGTGATTTTTACGCCTAAGATCTTTGAGATAAATGATTCTTTGGAAAACTATTGTAAGTCTGGAATATCTCGAACACAACCACTCTTTCGATGGGTATTTCGAGTATTCAAAATATAATTTCGAAGGGTCCTCATCGAGGATTCGAATTCTCGAATTTCGAGGATTAATCAATTTCAAGGGCTATGAAAGTAAGATTTTTGATAGGCTACGCGATCTCGAAAAAAAGTTTCTAGAAACGTTCGAAATTTCAGAGAGCTCGCTGCACCCCTTGGACTAGGTTTTTTGCTCGGAAATAAAAAGAATTCTTCTATGTGGTATGTTTCGCTGAACAGAGACAGATTGAATCTGATGAACATCTTATTATAGAAGAGTCAATGGTTTCCAACATTACAACGGGAATCCTGATAATTCTGGAAAAAAGTGATCAAGAAGTAGATTAAAATAATAAAAGTAGTTTGATGAAACGAATGTCCAGCTGGATCACAAGACTTAAGAAGACCGAATTTTTACACCTTTCAGGTTATATGTACAACAAAAAAAACTATTTTTTGTAACTCATGACGATTGAAAATTTCCAACCCCCAAGAGGATAGTCTGATTCATCGTTCATGACGGTTCCCATGATTTGCCCATTTTTAGTTAAGTATTAAGAGCATCAGAGGGTACATAGAGGGCGAGTTTTGGGGATCAAATTTTGGTTTTTTCTAATTGCATTAGATTATAGAAATGTGTGGTCTATCAGTTTTAACTGTAAAAGCAAGAAATCAAACTCAACCTGAAACTGCAAGATTTTCTAGGAATTTTTTCTAAAAACTCTTCAGGTTCCGATAAAAACTCATTTTTGTCTTATAGATTTACTAGCCTCTATTGGGGCTCTCGACTGCAAAAAACCGCAGGTCTCTATCTGCTCGCGTTCTGGAGTTATTTGATATATTTTGACAGCTTCTTTTAATGTAAAATGGATAGTAACATAGACGATAAAAATCCGTAAAATAGACCTTTTTGACATTGCCGTAGTGCTTGATTTGTCTTTCCTTTATAGGCCTCCAGTCCAAATTCTAAAAGTAGCCCTTTATGGGTGAGTGTAACAGATGAAATGGAAATGTTAAAAATTAGCTTGGACTATAATAGTATTTCATCAAAAAGAATAAATTCACTATTTGACGAACTGATGACGAGTCTTATAAAAGTAAATCGTGTTGAAGATGATTCAGATTCTATTACATTTAACGAAGCTTCAGTTCTTACCAATGAAACGATTAATATTCATCTACTATCTGACAATATTTCAAATTATTTTTCTTACAAAGATAAATCAAAAGAAACGAAAGGATAAAAAACAGCAGTTAGAAAGACACTACATATGATTTATTTAGTGAAAGTTAAAAGTGATCTACGAAAAAGTATTACTTAAAATGACAATAATCATATTTCGATCTGCTAATGCAAGTTTATTATATGAAAGATAATTGTAAAAAAAGTGAAGCTTTCGAAGTAGTTATTTTGCAATTAATCATTAAAGCAATATCAACATCGTGTCGAGTGAGGATAAATTAATTGGGGCATTTCTATTGAATATTTAAAGGACATAAACAATCGTCAGATTTTATTCTCACTGAAAAAAACAGATTATGCATTTTGAGATTATCGGACTTCGAAACCATGCCACAGGCAGGTCTTATGAGGGAACCTCTCGAGGTGTTTAATCGTTTTTGAGCCGATATTTTGCCCTCAAGTAGGGAATCTCTAGACTAAAATAGCCCTAAGTTGGTTCGGTTGTCTGAGCCTCTGGAGTCAAATTATGTATTTTTCAAGTTTTTTGAAAAAAACGCAACAGGCTCACTCAATCCATATCTACCACGATATACAAAAGTATCGACGCAAACGACGAGATATACTTTCCTTAATAGAACTCGGTGAATCGAATAACAAAAATCGCAGCTCTCCATCTTTGTAGCGAAAAACTTTATGGCCATTTTATCCTTCCAGCGGGAAAGTGCATTTTGCACTGTTTTCCAGCGAATTTGACCTAACTTGTAAAACTTGCCCCAACCGCAGTCTCTGACGCAGAATCTTGAGTTTGGTCGCAAATAAAAGAGCTCGTCGAATTCTGTGTATATCAATGAAGAAATTCTATGTACCATCGCAGGATCTGGAAAAAAAGATTGCTGAAAACCTAAAGATCATAAAATTCATTTTGAAAAGTTTTCAACTACACCAATCGACAACCTGCACAAAGTGAGATGTCAACCAAATTTTCATGAGTTTCCATTAAAAAAAAATGAAGAAAATACGAAGCGGATCAAAAATTTAGCATTGAGTGAAAACATCTCAAAGAATTTATGTCAATAATAATAATCAGTCATTTAATACGATGAAAAGTTGGTTGACATCTCATGTTTTGAAGAACGGAACTGGCTGTCGACCGGCGTGGCCGAAAAAAATTTCAAAATGAATTTCAAGGTATTTAGGTTCTCTGGAAAACCAGAATTTTTTCAAACCTTGAAAAATGTATGACTCGACTCCGGAGGCTTAGACAACCGAACCAACTTAGGGTTATTCTAGTCTAGAGATTCCCTACTTGTAGGCAAAATATCGGATCAAAAGCGATTAAACATCTCGAGAAGTTCCCTCGTTAGCAAAATCGTTATATCTCGGCAACAACGACAGTGGACGACCTCGGGCTTGCCGAGTTTATAGGGGGTACTTTAACCTATCTTTTTTCCATTTTGCACATCGAAATCATGTTTTCGTTTGTTTTCGTGCAAAAAAGACGTGCTCAGGCTTTCTCTACAGAATGGTGAAAACCTGAACTAGCGCTTTTGTTCTTGAGTTATACCAAAAAAAGCGAGATCACTGCTTTTTCTTTCGATATTACTGATAACATCGAGTCGATTGCACAATGTCAATCGTTGTACAGAATATAGGCACAGAGCAATGGATTTAGTTTTGCAGTTTACGGCAAAGCTAAGTTCATATGTTCGAATCTCTATTCGTGCAAAATTGATTTTGTATTTTTCGATAGTTGTAGTTTAGAATACTATAACAGAACATTTTTCCGCTTGGATCATATATCAATAACTTACAATTTCCACAACGATATTGATTGATTTCGAACAGGAATCTTTCAAATTCTTTGACTATTGTTTATGGGGTTAACATCAGAGTTGACTATTTATCACATCAATCAAATCAAAGCAAATAATACGAATGATAATTTAGTCTTATAGAGCAAACATTTTGAACAAAGTGAAACGTCTCCCAACTCTCTCCGACTTTTCTTCAACAAACTACATTAACGAAAGGTCTACGTACGAAAGGCTCAAAATCTGAAACGCAGCAAAATTATTGAAGTTTTAGGAAAAATAACAAAAAAATGTTTTGTAGAAGAAAGGTCGGAGAGAGCTCGAATACATTGTCACTTTGTTCAAAAATGTTTGCTCTATAAGAAAGACTAAGCTATTTGGAGATAGTTTACGATCAAATTCACAGATCTGGATCTGAGAATCTTAGGTTTTTTCAGCGAAAAATGATGGATTTTTACATACATCTCTCCGGATAGGAGACCTTTTTAACTGCTCAAATCTTCTTCAGATTTTTTCTATCCGTTACTGTCGAGTATAAAAGCCAAAATACAAGTGTCTTAAACTTTACAAGTCTTAAATGCATCACATTTTGCTCAGGTGAATGATGTGAATTCAAACTCAATTGTAGAATCTTGACTTTCAAGATCTCATTCTTGCTAACTAACAGCAAATTATATACCGATGGTAACAAGTTTTATATCGTCCGATGTCAACTAACTGTATAGTCAACTATTTTTATTTCAGAAGTACTGAAATATATCCTACAAAATAACGGATTTTTCATACAGGGTACATCTTAATTTGTAAGCCATCTAACTTATAAATACGAAACATTAAAATAAAAACAAGAAAACTCAAAATGTGCAAAAAATGTTCTTAAGTTGACTTTTGTTAATTAGATGTTTGTGATGAATTATTTTTCTCTACGTCAGCTAATTTTGATTTAATTCCAATTTTATTTAATTCTTGAACAAGTTCACCAGATCGATGCATATCCAATAGAATATCGCAACCACCAATAAATTCACCGTTAAAATAAATTTGTGGAAATGTTGGCCAATTGCTGTAAATTTTTAAATTTTGACGTAATTGTTCGTCACTTAAAATGTCTTTTGATTTAAATTGACAACCGTGTAAATTTAATATTTGAATAACAGCATTTGAAAAACCACAACGTGGTGCTTCAGGTTCTCCTTTAATAAATATGGCTATTTTGTTTTGTTTTACAAAATCGTCTAATGTTTGTTTTAATTTTGAATCGATAGCATCAGTTGAACTAGGCGGCTTGACAGTCGATGTTGATGAAAATAGACTGGATGATACTGAAAATGGACGGATAGCTCCTGCTGATAATGGTAGATTAGTAATATGTCTCAGTAGAGTGCGACTAAATAATGACATCTAAAATTATAAACAGATATCGAATAAGGAAACTTATTGTAATCACAAGTAGTTCGATAATCGAACATTTTATTAAATAATTTACCCATCAAAACAGAAATAGATTATAAAAACATTTATTTTTTCAACTGTCTCGTACGACTCAGAACACAACAGATCTCGAAACGTATCGAATGATTTGACATTCGATTAGGCTTTCAATGGATCGTAATCGACTCCATTTAAGTTTTTAACATGTTATCCTAAATTAATTTGAATTAAATTCATTTGTCTTAATTTGTGAATGAATGATCAACGACAACCGTTCCCGATTCCAGACCACTTTCTACTATATAACACTAAGAAAACGTTTTTAGTGACTATACTCGCTGTCAAAACATCTTAGCTGTGAAAGACTTGCAATAACAATTAAGATAATAAATTATCTCGATTTACGTTTTTCCAATTTAATCATTTTGTTCTAATATTTAGGTCAAAAAATATACTAAGCATATCGATACTATGCTCTTATTGTTTTTGTCTTTCTGATTTTTCAATTGTATTCAAGTATTCTTATCAAAAATTCAATAATATATTTTATATTTTAATTAAAAAATTATAAATTTTCTTTTTCAAGTAGTAAAAATCCGTAGATGTTGTTCATTCTAAATGCTAATTTAAAATAAATTGAATAATAATAATAAAAATATGACTATTTTTTTCTGCTATGCACAATAGAATATTTTCTATTTATTTATGTATCATTCACTATTTTGCAAAAAAATAAAAATGAAACAAATTTTAACGACTATAATAGAAAAAAATATGTAATTGAGAAGCAACTAAGCTCATCCAAAATAAAACTTTATAAAAAAAAAAATAACTTTGCATTAATAAGTCTTATTTCGATTAATTCGCACTCTAAAAAAACAATGAGAATTTTTGACATTAAATTCATACGAAATAAAAAACATGAAAATAAGTGACCGATGCAATGTGTTTATTATTATCTCTTTTTCTCTTTTTATTAATAATATTAACAATAGGAATATGTTAACTATCCACCCAACACCACACAATAATTGAATTAAAGTATGAAAACTACTAAAAATCAAAAAGAAAATTAAAGTTTTGTGAGTGTTTTTTTATTTGAAACTATAATAACATAAAACTAGATATATTTTTTATTGAGTTGCTTTTCTTTTTGAATATTGTTTTTAGAAATATAACGAAAAAATATAAAAATAATCGTATACTTGTTCTGTTATTATGATTAATACTATTGTTTAGTTCTTTAAGTATTTTTTTAATATTATATCTATTTATAAGAATAATCTTAGCGTACGACGAGCTCATAGTATTTATTAAAGCTACATTCGCTTAAGTTCTATCATTAACAGCTTTGTTTCAACAGTCATTCAACACTTTATCCAAGTAAGTGAATCGAAAACTAAAAGATCTGAAGAGTCGCAATCATTCAAAGTCGGTTAGACTTTTTCTTACAATCATCGACTCTATTCATCATTAAAATATGTGTTCAAACAGGCTTGATCACCTAGAAAGATTTCCTCGTTAGTACCGATAAGGCTAATACGAAAAGATTGAAGAATGTAAGCACGCCCTCTTTCTTATCGTACCGTTCGTGCATAGTGCATGAGATAAGTCAGGTTATTTTTTTTCATGTATAATTTAGTTGACAAAGATGGTGATCTCAATGTCACGCGAATCAAATTTATCTGAAGCATTAATTCAATGTAAAAAACTTGAAAAGAATTTTATCAAACGTGAATATACGCTCATTGATAAAGAGCGACAAAAAATTCGTTCAAGTATTGATCGTCATATGGAAACATTTTTAGCCTTAAATAAAAAACGTCACGAAAATTGGTGGAAACATGATCGTCATTTTCGAGAATATGTTCGTAAAGAAAAAGAAAAATTTCGAAAACCATTAAAAACTGAAAGTTTTAATCGTCCTCAAACACCATTTAAAATGTTAGAAATTAATCATGCAAATTTATTTGATTCATCGGAAACAGAGAGTATTGTGTTACCCACGATTACCGATACTGTTATATTAAAACCAATGATAAACAATAATCAGATAAGAAAGAAACGTGAGAATAGATTATCGTCAGCAACACCAATATCAAAAGTTGAACGACGTGTACAACAAGTATTAAAATCATCACAAAAACTTTTAGCTGAATCGGCAGCAAAGAATAGCCGTGAAAAAAGATTAAAACCAAAACCATTGTTCTCTTCGTCCTCATTTTCTCTACAGTCATCAGGAGTATTATCAAATTCAACTATGAGAACAACATCATCGTCGATAACATCTCCTCCCGTTGGTGGATATCATTACAGGCCTATACCACCAATTGATGATGACTATTATCAAAAATTATTACAACAATCAATTCAGCGCGAAACATACGATGAATTTATTGATCATTTTGTTAAATTTCGTCCAGAATTTCGTGAAAAATTTTCTTATATACATGAAGATATGAAAAGAAATATAGCTATTGGAAAATTGAGAAATTTTAATAATGTACAAGCTAAAACAAAAGATGAACGTTATCATCAACTAATTAGTAGTTTATCAGATTTTAGCTCAAATGAGTCGTTATCACGAAGAAAATAGAATTAATCTAAACGGCTGTAAAATGAAGAGAAAAACATACTACTCTTCTCTATTAACTGAGAATGAATACAAACAAACAAACAAACTTTTTTCAGTAACTTCTGGATATATCTCTACAAACGTTTTTAAAACTACTCTTGGATTTAAATAGCAACTACTTAACATTTGAAATGGTACGAACAACTAGCTATCATAGATAGACGGAACATCAGCTTATTGAATGATCCCATATGAGAAGATTCTAATGGTATGTTGTATCACTATTAAAGATGTTGTTCGCTCAAATTTTACTGACTCCGCTTAGAATTACCGAATAAATAAAACGTTTTTTTAACATACAATCTAACGTTCTCAAGATGCTTTTGATCTGAGTAAAAATCATCCTTATTATTTCTAAAATATTATTAATTCTATCAAAATCGAAAGCACCATTTAAAGAGATTATCTCCATACCTTATATCTACCCAAAATAGAAACGTGTCTTACGCAAACTGTTTCCAAAATTTAGCACGAAATTGAAAAAGGTGAAATTATCTAAACTAAAAATTGTTAAGAGTTTTTGAAAACTATTGACAGACAACCTACTTCAGAATATAACTGTGTAAAATAGTTACAAAATACATCTTTAAACTGGACGAGTCTGATAATTAGTTAGGAATGATAAGTTAGAATCAGCTAAAACAAAACTTAACAAAGCCTGAAAAAACAACAGCCTGCAATGCTGAAAAAGTCAACGTTAATCAGTCCAACACCTTTGGATCGGGTTGTAGTATTCTAATGCAGTGTCCGGTCAAAGCTCCAACTTTGTCACATAGTAACATATCAGTAAAAAATTCGCGACTGCCTGCCTGATATACCGAATGTTCTTAATTACGATGAAGTACAAGCAATCGTTTCTGTTAACGGCGACACTTCTGTCTACCCAGATGTTTCAAAAATGTTCCCAAAAAGATAACTGTGTCCGATGACAAGTAAGAATATATTGTAATCCCCATCCCAGGTTGTAACTATTGTCTATTCAAAAAAACCGTGGTCTCGATTGTTTTTTGAATAACTTTTGATAGAAATCTGTGGTTTTTAGTTTTGGAGACTAGACACGTGACGATACATTTTCATAAGCAAAGTCGATATTTGAAAAGTTTTCCGATGTCGGTTTTTCAGAGGAGCTTTGAAAAACCATCGTCCTATCGTCAAGTGTCTAGTCTCCAAAACTAAAAACCACAGATTTCTATCAAAAGTTATTCAAAAAACAACCGAGACCACGGTTTTTGGATGGACAATATAACAGTATTATTTTTAAAACAGAAAGAAAAAGTATCAAACTTTTATGTCTCTTTTAATACTTTAGTAAACATGATATATATATACGAAAAAAAGAAAAAAGAGAACATTAATTTAAAGAAAAATACAAATGAAAGTTTAACAGTAAAAAATAGTGAATGACACTTGTTTGCATATATCTGTATAATTCATCAAACCAAAAAGGAATAAAAATTTGTATAAAAAAACACACAGCCAATCTTAGCAGTGTATACAGTTGAAATACTTCATGGAACATAAAAACATAGATAAGTCATTACCGGGAAATCCCGCATGAAATAGATGTCACAATTAAGTATATGGAATAACAGAGAGAACAAATTTATAAAAAAAAGTGTAACAATAGTAACAAACATTCAGAAAATAGACACGATTTCAGTCATGTAATACGTAAAAAAGGTCGTTGTGTAGATATGTGCATATAAGTTCGTTGAAATAGAAACACAAAAAAAATTGGAGATACGACCGATTAGCACCATTCTTTGACTCATTTGAATTATTCTGACTTCATGCATTGAACTATGATTTCAAATTGGCTAACATTCGTTCGATTTCATCATCTTCAGTTTGATGTGATGCTTTCGATGCCATGGCAGATGCTGGAACTCTTGGTGCACCATTAATCTAAGAGAGATGAATAAAAATTGGTATACAAAAAAAGTTTTGGTGATGGGTAATATGCATTGGAGGTAATATACTTTATCTTTCATCTGAATGCCAATTTCTTCCAAGACTTGATTTACGATTTGATCTTCTTCTTCTTCGTCTCCTTCTTGAGCAAGGGCAGCTTCCAATGTTTCACCAACTAAATATAATTACGAAACAAAAATCACAATTTTTTTGTTTTGTATAGTTTTAATTGACGTACTCAGGTCATCTGTTATTTCCATTTTCATATGCTGCTCAGCAAATTTTTGTGTCACTTTTCCCATTGCCTGAGGATCAATCAAGCCATTCATCTTTTCCATTGTTTTTGCTGTACTATCCATTGCCTATTACATAAATATTGTTGTAAAATATACTTTACACAATTAAACAATAATTACATGAGCCATTCGAACATTTGATGCCATCATCTGTAAAAAATAGAGAAAAATAAACAGTTTATACCATAAACATAATAGAAGCAATCACATACCGCATTTTGAGAAGCTAAACCTTGAATGTGTCCACTAGCATTTAACGATTTTTCTTTTTGTCCTCGTACTTTTATCAATTGTTTTGCCAATATTTCAATAGCCTTAAAACAAATCATATTTACTATTTTTCTGCGTCTCCAAAAAAGTGACTATACTAACGTACTTTTTTATTGCCTTGTGAAGCATTTTTTCTAATTTCATTCATCTACAGTGTATAGTTCAATATAAAAAAGACTTCTTTTAAAGATAATTTTCTTTACATACCAATTTTTGTTCTTCATTGTCCAGTTTATGTCTATCTCGTACAAGATCACGATCAGTTCGCCGAAGTTCTCTTGATTGTTCTCTGGTTTGTTCTAAATAAAGAATAAATACTCTTTTGCTTTTAATATGAGATAAAAAAAACTAAAATTATGATTAAACTAATATACTGTCTTTGCCCAATTTACTTACCGGTAATATCTTTCTTCTTACTAAACATGTTAATCGTTTACAAATATGATGAATATAACAAAGTAGTATTAACAACCAAATCTAGAAACAGACTAAAATCAAAAGAATATATACAATAAACAATCACAAATTATTCGTCTGCTGCAATGCAGTCTTGATTTTCGCGAAGAAACGCACAAATCAAAACTTTTTCTGTAGCTTCTATGTTGCGACTATGACTAGATTTCAAACAAATATTAAAGTTGTCTATACAAAAGGAGTATCATACACACAAATCTAGCATCTTGACGAAAAATAAATATAAAATTTTCTTCAAGGCAAACTTTCAGTTGAATTTAGTGTCGATTGCTGAGAAACAAAATAAAAATGCCTTATACGAACGTAGAAACATAGCTTACACACCTAAAATGAAAAGTTTGACAATAAAACAGTGTAAAGAATTTATACGATAAAAAAATATTTTAAGTTGAAGACTTCAGGCCATCTCTGAGTCAAGGTGATTTTCATCGTTTTCCTTTGATAAATTTTTTAGTTTTTCATGTTGTTCTTGTTTATCATCAATTTCTTGCTTTTCATCTTGTTCTTGTTTTTCATGTTGTTCTTGCTTATCATCAATTTCTTGCTTTTCATCTTGTTCTTGTTTATCGTCATTTTCTTGTTTATTGTCATCTTCAAGATGTAAACTCTCATTCATCTGTTTCTTGAAGAAAAACTTAAACACACCATCAACACAATGACCACTTGTATATTCATGTTTCGGATGTCCTGCCGATACTTCCATACATGCTGGTTCATAAGAATAAAATGATTGTCGTTTTCGGACTGGAGTTCCCATTGGTTCATCGCTTGCCACGAAATGAATCCCATTTTGTCTTAAAAATTGTTTTATTTGTTCTGATTCAGATGGTAATAAAGAATGAACAGAATCAGTGAATGCAACAGATGTTAAACGTGAAAATAATGATTGAGTACGCTCTCGTAATAAATACATAAGAGCATCACCACCAGCCGAATGTGCAACGATATATAATTTGTTTCCTTTACAATGTTCTTGAATAATATTATCATAAACATACAGAATATGTTTTCGGCTTGTTTCATTATGTTGAATTCTTTTCGTTGTTCTATTATCATAAACACGAGTTGTCGTTAAATAAAATGATTGCGGATCTTTATCATCATTAGGATTATTATTTTCATCATCATCATTGACATAGTATGTAGTTTGATTTGGATTAAGAATCAAAACGGATAAATTATTTTCTTTTGCATGCTTCATATATGGAAACATTGTGCCAATATTTAGAGATTCATTAATACAACATGATCGTGCCCATTGATTTGGTCTTACAACGCCAGAACCTTGAATTAATATTAAACAACCATTTTCATTTGTATTAAAATCATCTGATATAAATATATTCGTTTGATCATGATGATCATCGACATTTGAATCACCAATTTGTCCACTGTTATCTGATGTTTGTTGTTCTTCTGTATTCTCTTTTTTCTCTGTCTGTTCGTGTTTTCTAAATGGTAACCATATTTCTTTATATTTCCATTGTGTTTTCATTCGATTCTGAAGATAGTCCGATATACAATCACCCAATAGATTATAATGACGTTGTGTGATAAATACGAATCTTTCATGTGTTATTTTATGTCTTAATTCATCATTTTCGTTAAAGTAATAATTAAATTCATCGATTGTTGTTGGATGGGTCGTTGCTGGAATTGTAGATAAAATATTTTGAAGACGATCTTTCAACGCTTTTGGTAATACGTCTTTTAATGAGTCTAATGGCGCTATAAGATCGTGACATATGGAACATTTTAAACTTCCATTCAATAATTCTGCTATATGACTGTTTTCAATTAGAGATTCAATATACTTTGTCCAACAAGCGATACATACCATATCGCTTTTGTTCTTGCAACATGAATATAATGGTCGTTGTTCTTCCAAACAAAATGGACAATCCCCCTGTTCTTTTGATAAACCATTCATCTAGAGACAGAAATAAATAAACATGCAGCATGCGTAAAATTAAAGAAAATAAACAATGTCATAATGAAGTGAAATTTGACGTCCATAGATTCTCTCTATTGTTTTTGCTTTTATCTTCAAAAGTTTTCTTTTTTTCTCTGTTAACACAAAAAATAAACAACCAACGAAAACAAGAAACAAAAGTTATAAGCAAGTATTTTTCGTTACTCTCTTCCTCTGTTTCTCGGCTAGTCTTGTTTCCTGACAAATGAAAGAGAAAAAAAGAAGAACAACCATAGGAAGATGAACACACAAAAAGCGTCATTTTAGGACAAGATCTATTGTCTTTCTCTTGTTAGAAGAGAGGCGTGAAACGACAATATTTATTGTCATTATGTCTGTGTATCTTGTCGTTAGAATCGCATCGGCAACTTTTATTTTTTTTCTTTCTATGTCATTTGTAGTTATAGAATAATACGTATATACTGTATGAATGACGAATTTAATTTTCATGCCAGAAACAACATATTTAACGTATTTTCATCTTATTACAGCTGTTTTCTTCCTCTTAAGACATTTGTTTTGTTGATCGGTTTAAATCATTAAAGATAATAAATTGTTGTTTCATAACACCAATAAAACTTCATTGTTCAAAAATGTGAAAAACCACTTGCGCCATGAGAATTCAAAAATAACGTTTGGTCAGCATATGTTGAATCTTGTGATAATAATTGATGATCACCGCCTTGGGATTGATAATTATCGTATAGATCAGATTGAGAAAAGTCTTGTTGAGATAAACCGTACGGTGGCTGCGACATGAGACCACTTTGTGAAATAGGATATGGCTGACTGATTGTTCCACCTTGAGTCAATGCTGTTCCATCCTAGAAAAACAGATTAAAATGAAGGTGTGATAAGACGTTTAGAAATTCAAAAAAAAAGTAGCAAACCTGTGATTGTGTGGTGCCACTAAATGGTAAATTTTTTGAAAATCGTGGCGGCTTTAGTGGATTTTTAGTGCGACCTTTTGCTCCTTTCGCCGTAAGTTGTGCTTGTGCAGCTGCTGTTTGCGCTAGTCCTCCTCCAACTTGACGACCTAGTAAGACATGAAAATGTTCCAGTTCTACTGTTTTTTTGTAGATTAAGTAAGAACTTACCGTTCATCATTTGATTAAATGAACCATTCATGTAAGGCATTGATAATGTCGATGGTAGCATCATTTGTGGTGGTAAAGGTAAATTTAGACCATTTCCATTTGTTGTTCGAGCCATTGGATCAATGTAATTTAAAGGATCATGAGCTCGCATTGTTAAACCAAATTGATTTGCATAATATGGACCAAATAATTGACGTTTATCTGTTGTGCCACTGCGGTCGTAAACACTACCAGGTATCATTGCTTCTTTCGCTAAAAGAAATAAGAGAATAACTTTTACATAACATTTATTCTCGAAAATAAGAAGCAGTATGTACCTGAAAACATTACATTTGACATAAATCGACCGCCAGGATTTGTAGGATTCACTAATTTTTTTGGTTTCGAAAATTGAATACAGCTTTCTTTTAAATTATTCAATGGCCCTTCGACAAGCACATGTTGTTCTTTGTAATATGTTAATAAATGATTCCATAATGGTTGACGAGAAAGTACTCTGGGATTGCCAACCACAATAACGCCATATCTAAAATATAATACAAAGTTAACAAATGGATAGATGAACAATCACCACACACTCATGAAGCTTCTCTTACATATTTATAGAGAAAAATGAGAAGTAGCATCGAATTTTTGAATAAATTTCTTTTCTCAACTTACTTGGCACGTGTCAATGCAACATTGAGACGTCTTGGATCGTTGAGAAAACCGATGCCTTGATGTTCATTGGCTCGAACACACGACAAAATAATGAAATCTTTTTCTCTGCCTTGGAATGCATCAACACTGGCTACTTCAATATCTTGATATAATTTTTCATTTAGCGATCCGCTATACTGCATATGTTGAACGATAAATGCCCGTTGACCTTCATAAGGTGTGATTATTCCAACTTGGTCAGGTTTAATACCGGCTTTTAATAAACGTGTTGCAATTTTTTCAACCATACCAGCTTCTTGTCGATTTAAATATGATGTTCCGCTACTTGATATTTCTTCTTGACCCAATGAACAATAGAAAAACATAGGTTTATCCGATTGTGACCTACAATATAAAATGTTATGAATTTCTTTATGTTTCAAGAATCAATTCAGCGATAGCTTTTTCAAATGAAGTATTGATCTTACCAAGGAAAATCTAACGTGGCTATTGTACGTTCAGCTGCCGTTACACCATTCTGTAATGAGCCTAGAAAAAGATATTGAATAAAGGATATAAACATACTCCAACATGCCATATATAAAAAAATAAAAAATACCTTCATAAAAGATATTTGATGGAAACGCAGACAAACATGGATGCATTCGATACTGTACTTGCAAACGTATAGGCCGAATACCCAAAACAACCAAACGTTCGAATAACGACTGACTTAGACCAGCTCGTGCCGCTTTTTTACACATAACCACAGGTCCCAATTGACAATGATCGCCAACTAATATCAGTTGTCTTGCTCCAAGTACAACCGGTACCATACATTCTGGTTCGGTAGCTTGTGTTGATTCATCAATTAGTATACAACGAAATTGGTAACCACGCGATAGACGAGGATCACCAGAGCCAACACAAGTACAACAAATAACGTCTGCATTTTTCAACAGATCACTTTCACATTTGCGTTTTAATGTACGATAACGTTTTTCATCTGATGATGATAATTCACCAGTTTCATCTTTCAATTGTTGAAGTTTTTTCAATTCTGGCTCACTAAAGAATATAAAAAAGAACTAATCTATCTACAGAGATACTTTTAGAGAAAATCATTGTTCGATTTGAATGTATCCTGTGGATAGATCACTGATTCACACACATAGTAGTAGGTGAACGCTCAACGTATTATCGGAGGAATTATCTAAGATCGTTTAGCTCCATAGCTTAAATTTTCGATAAATACTAAACAAAATTGTCATACCTTTCCAGATTTCGAACTTGATTATGTAATGCCAAAAATGAAACAGGAGAATCAAGTGCTTCTCGAGATTTAGCACATAAACGAACAACCTATAAACAGATAAGAAACAAATCGTGTTGCATTCATCAATAATTTACTTTAGAATCAAATTTACTTTCAAACCAGTTTTATGAATTTTTTCTGTCAACTGATCAACTGCGATATTCGACGGTGCACAAACCAGTACTTGACCATGATTTTGTTTGGCAAGATGGTAAACAATCGTAGCAGATGTTACAGTTTCTAAACAAAGGAGTCATCAGGTAACAATCTTATATTTTAGAAATCAACAGATTAATCGAAACCATTTCATACTTCCTGTTCCAGGTGGACCTTGAATAAGACTAAGTGGTCGTTGTAATACAGTTTTAACAGCATACACTTGTGAATGATTCAATTCCGGTAGACCAGGCGCTGAAAACCGTTTTGGTAATGTCACTTTCATCACTAAATCATCACCCTCATGACCAAGTAGACGATGGTATAAATAGGCTGACACACTATTTTCGTCAACAGCAAATGTTTTTAATGCAGCTTGCATTCTGCGACAGAGAAAAATAAATTATAAAAATTGTAAAGTACAAATTCAACAAAAGTAAATAACCTGTCAAACGATGTTGATTTCCACACAAATTCGACAACAAAATTGGTTATGTATTCAACTGGTGCACCTTGCGTTATTTTCAGTTCAATACCGACTTCTTCTCCATAATCTAAAGGTATAAAAGGCGATTTAGCTATGATAAAAGTACATCCGATACAGAATTACATACTATTGGGGACTTTGACGACATGACCGACACCAGACCATGGCTTTTGTGGATCACCGACATAACGTAAACGAAGTTCGTCACCGGGCATTAAGCGCATCTCTGAAATATAAGTGTAAGTAAAAACTATATGTGCTGTGAAGCGATTGATGTCTGTTACAGGTGGGCAGAATCAGGATTTGCGTTGTATCAGATGGTCTAAAGAGTTGTTTAGTTCTATACCGTATCGTGAAAAAAGGCTTGAACTATCGTCAGAATTTACATTTAGCTTCTTTTTCAGTTATCATTGCTCTCGTTTATTGATTTCAGTAAGAACAGAAAAAAGGAAGATATTACATTATGCATACATTATATACTAATGATATAATCAAGAGTATATGCAAAGATGTGAGAGTAGATACCAGACATAATTGAAGGAAAGCATTTTTACCGGGATATGATACATTATGGTACCATTTCTCGTATTTTCTTACCCTCATTCGCTTTTGGTAGACAAAAGTAAGCCAGACGTTTTTTATTCAAACCCATATCCCATCTTACATTGACATTATCTTGAGTTTGAGATTCTTTCAGTTTTCGATCATCGTCCGCTTCCATTTTAACCAATGGTCCAAATATATTTTGGTACTGGTATGCATCTTCATATCTAAAAACTGAGCTTTGTTTTCATTCAATAAAATTTGAAAGAAAAAAGGTCTACCTCAATAATACTTGTTGTGGCTCTTCATCGATGCCCGGTTTTTCTAAATCACCAATGGTTGCATCAGGATTTTCCTAAAGGGCAAAAAAAATCAATGAATATATTTTTGTATTTAGAATCGAACTCTAGTCGCTTACTTTCCATAATTCCTCGAGACGGTTAATCATTTGGGCTGTTATTTGTCTAGCTCGTAATTGTTCTTGTTCGGACGGAATCTTAACGAGCCATGTTAAAAACGAACGATCTTGTATAAGTGGTTGCCATTGTGATGGATCCCAATTCATATCCTTCAAAGCACTTTGACTTGCACAAGGTTGACGGCATAACAAAACCACGACACTATCAGCTTTAGCTGGTATAAATCCAAGTAAAAATGTATTTCGACATCCACAATTGTAACATTCCAAAATTGTTTCACCCAATGGTCCATCTTTATGTAACGTTACCTCTTTACATTTAGCTCTTACCAAGTGATTGATGATATGACTGTTAGAAAAAGAAAAACACATTCATGCTCATAAAAAATACTATACCAGAAGTTTACAATGTTCACCTTCCAGATGTATTTCCACGGCCATTACAAAACCATTTTTTTGTCTGATTACACATTACAACAGCAGCTGGATCACTTATTCCACAATATCTAAAAACAAAGACAACAAAAGTAACCTTTTACATTGTATTCAATCTTCTGAAACAGAAAAACTAACGCGCAAGCATGTTTTGGTAAATCTTTTTCACAGTAGCCTTCTTCTTCATCTTCAAACGGTAAATCTGTTAATCCACGTTGCATTCTCGTTGTTCCGTCCCCATCGCGACTTTCTGTTCCCGGAAATACAGAACTCTAAAAAGAGAAGAGGAAAAAACAGAAATAGAGGATACCACGATTGTTCAAATATTTTACCTGGTTATGCGTGGGTGTGGCTGCATTATCAGATAGATTCTGAGTTGGTAAGGTTAAATCATCAAAGCCAAAATCTGTTTCTTGTGTGTTTCCACGCACCAAATCAGGATCCAGAAATACTAATGAATCTTTACTAACACTGTACGGTTCACGAATACTCATCTAGAAAAGAACTTAAAAATAATTTTTGTCATTTAATCAACAAAGAAGAGATTATGACTATGGTTTTTATCAATAGCATCTAACTAAATAACACACGTATAATTTGTCGTATTAATTTCCAGAACACTGATATGGAAAACCAAAATTGAATTTTTAATTGACTCTTCTTGGTTATTTTTTTATGTAGTATTATGGGTTTTTTTCTGTTTGTTTATTTTCTTTTTGTGATTTCGTTATATGAAGAAGAAGAATGAATAAATACTATCCATGAGTCATCATCAATTCTATTCGTCATACCTCCAGTTTTTCCATTGCTCTTGACTAATGGCCTCGATTAATAACGTTATCTAGCAAAATCAGACTAGAACTAAGTTTGCTATCTTGAAAATAGAGGAAAATGCCATATGCACGTAAGATCCAGCTTTATTTAACGACAGACTGAAATATAATATTGGGATTTTTTACTACCTAACGCTGAAAATCAGATGGTTGGAGAGTACTTATCTACTTATGGGTAGAAAGCTTTTCCAGTTCCCTTTATTTTCCACATGAAAAGAAAAACTCATTACCATCAGACATTGTTACCAAGTGTTTGTCATTTTAATCAAAAATATATATGATAATGGCATGTCTTACAAAAGGAAGGTTCATGTCATTGCCGAGCAGCTCTTCCCATTTGGGAAGAGGTCTTTTCGGACCACTAAACGCATTCAAAAATTCCATTGCGAATAGGCATGTTAGTTCCTGTTCGAAAAGTGAATAGAAAAGTTGGATGTATGAATGAGAGCTAGAGAAAAACGGGCAAAAGATCAAAATGTCTGATGAGTCGGAGACAGTTTAAAAATGTTTTTTAGAATTTTAAACGCAAAAAAAAACGGATTCCACATTTTGGAAAGTAGAACAACGAAAGAATAACAACACCTGTTTTTCTTGTTTGAATAAATAGAAATGCACTTTTATAGGTTTTGAGATAAGAATATTTTTTAGCAAAAACGGATCTAAGTGATCTATCGTGTGATATTTAGGTTTCTGTTGTTTCTTCGGCTTTGATTTAGAACACATTTATATTTTTCTCAGGTTTCTTGAGGAAAAAACGCAATTAATTGCGTTTTCTTGTGAAGAACGCGTCCGTTTATGTTCATTGGCCCCATGCCGAAATGGGTTATCAAAGAATACTTACATCTAATAATAATAAGAGTAAAACTATAATTTAAAATTCATACCGAAATGATTGTACAGCATCGAATAAATCTTCTATTATTATCTAAAATATTCGTGTTTCATGTGTGCTTGTGTACATCATTTTTTTTAGTTTTGTGTCCATGATGTAGATCGAGTTGACGCGAAGTCTAAGAATATCTTATGAAGATAATTTTTGTTTACAATTAAAATACGACTATTTTTTCAAAATATAGGATCATTTCCTTTGCTTTTGTAGTTCAAATTTTTTTTATCAATAATATTCAGGATTATTCTAATAGTGTGGAAGTATTTCAAAATTTTGATATATCCGCCTGGAAAAAAATAGTTTTAGTCGTGTTTTTGAATTTATTATACATTTTAGAAAAATAATTATATATTCGGGTAGCGCTTGATATTCTCTATTAGTCTCTGCTTTACCAGCCTGGATTCGAAACTATTTGCTAGCAAACATTTTTAATATTGTTAATGTCACCTATCACATTCCCAGGAATTGTAACGGGTACGGCCTCTCTATATTTTCTATTTTTCTTTAGGACATAAAAGTCAATGGTTTTTTAAAAAGATGCGCCGCGAAATACTTTACAAAACCATACCTAAATTTTAGTTTCAGAACTTCGATCAAGAAAACTACGTAGATTATACAAAAGACATAAAAAAAATGAAAGCTTTGTAAAATCAAAAGCGATTTCTTGTGCTAACGTTTTGCAAACGAGAAAAAAAAACGAGAAAAATTAGCCATTTTATAGCCCTGACTTCGCTCTATCTTTTAACCACACTTCAAATTTTTTCACATAAAAAAATATCCATAAAGAAATAATGATTTTTCTATCTGATGGCACACAATTTTTCATTAAGTTTTAAATTCTATGTATACTGATGCTTTTACTAAAAGTCTCATAACTCCATCAAAACAAAAGATTTTTCTATTGGGTTTGTTTTGATCAGAAGTGATTACTCTTCTTTACCTAACTGCAGAATAAAAACTTCGATAATGTTTTCCGTTTCTTGCTTCGGCACATTGTTGGAAACGGAAGACTATCAATTTTTGACGTATTTTTCAAACTTCCTTCTCGATCATACAATCTATTCTAAAAGATTTTTACAGACCACGAGAACGAGTACATTCAAAAGTACAAAAAGAACTGAGTTTTCACTTTTGCTATACTTTTTTACGAAAATAATAGCAGAAGCAAAAGGTTTAAGTGGGAAAAAATACCAGATTTTCAAAGCTTTCATTTTTTGTCCTTTTGACTTCACAGTAAGACATCTGGATATATTATATATAAACTCTCATTCCCTTTAGTACTTTATTTTTGCTTTATTTGTACTTTATTTTTCTTAGATCTGAAATAGCCTATAATTGGGAAGGTCATCGCAATTGAACAATTAACTTGTAAATAATTCCTAAATAGTACTTTTGTAGAGAAGTTCACGGACTTTCTTATGATATATAATATGTCTACACGGTTGGAAAAAATATTATTCCAGGGGATTAACACCATCATTTTAAATAGAGTAGATGATGAATTTTATACCAAATGAAAGCCCGTGAAAAACGGGATTTATTGATACTAAACAGTAAGGGTTATGAAGACCTTAGTGTATTAAACTCTCGAAGTTTATATAATTCTGTAAAATAGAAAAGTTATAATCTGCTTTTACCGGGTTGAAAGACCAAAAAAAAGAAAGTTTCTTAGAAAAAATTAAAGAGGCTATGTTGTAGTGGTTATACAGCGCGGCCTCGACTGAAAGGATATTATTATCTGTTCGCGTTCTGCTATCGATGCCTCGTGGTAGAGATTAATAAAAAGACTTTTTTGTTTTTCTTCTGAGAGAAAGTTACGAAAGAGAAAAGTTTGAATAGTTCGTGAAGTGGTATATAAGATCCATTTCTAATTGATATAAATCATAAAAAGAGAAT